CTCCTAAACTTCTATTTTGAGATGCCTTTTTGAATGGTTATAGTGTGATGTGTTAATTGTCCACAAAATTAGACAACATTTTTTCTATGTTAACATTCATTTTTGAATCCAATGTGAAGAATTCTAGTTATATTATTTAAGCAATACAAAAACGTGAAAAGAGATGAAGAAACAACTAAAACAACAAACAAAATAACAATGATGCTACCAAAGGGAAAAAAGTCGAAAAAAGATTTGCAGTGTTGTTTTTCAATTTGTTCATGTTGCATTCAGGGTCTGTGTGTACTAGACATACATGAGATATCTCTAGTAGAGGACATCAATCATGCTGCACATGAAGAAGCTAAGATAAGTTCCTCAACACAAAGGATTGGACTCCTGGGAACACTGCTCAAGCAACCCACGGTGAGTAATGCAGTGTTGCATTCATGTTGCATTCAGGGTCTGTGTGTACTAGACGTGCATGAGATATCTCTAGTAGAGGACATCAATCATGCTGCACATGAAGAAGCTAAGATAAGTTTCTCAACACAAAGGATTGGACTCCTGGGAACACTGCTCAAGCAACCCACGGTGAGTAATGCAGTGTTGCATTCATGTTGCATTCAGGGTCTGTGTGTACTAGACGTACATGAGATATCTCTAGTAGAGGACATCAATCATGCTGCACATGAAGAAGCTAAGATAAGTTCCTCAACACAAAGGATTGGACTCCTGGGAACACTGCTCAAGCAACCCACGGTGAGTAATGCAGTGTTGCATTCATGTTGCATTCAGGGTCTGTGTGTACTAGACGTGCATGAGATATCTCTAGTAGAGGACATCAATCATGCTGCACATGAAGAAGCTAAGATAAGTTTCTCAACACAAAGGATTGGACTCCTGGGAACACTGCTCAAGCAACCCACGGTGAGTAATGCAGTGTTGCATTCATGTTGCATTCAGGGTCTGTGTGTACTAGACGTACATGAGATATCTCTAGTAGAGGACATCTATCATGCTGCACATAAAGAAGCCAAGATAAGTTCCTCAACACAAAGGATTCAACTCCTGGGAACACTGCTCAAGCAACCCAGGGTGAGTTTTTAGGCTAAAAGTGAAACCCTTTTCTGTGGAGTGTCAAGGTTTCGTTGTATGGCTATGCTAACCACAATATAAACCATTCACAAAACAGTTGCTCTGCCAGATTTCCACAAAGACACCACTTTTTGCAGTGCATTTTCCAATTCCATTCAATGGTGGATTATTAATCAATAATTCACATTTTGCAGTGAAACACTGAGTTAAAGATGAATTTAGAAACAAAATTTAACAAACATTCTACATAAAATAGTATCGAGACTTAAAAGTTATTTGCAAACATTCAAAAATGAAATTGTCAAAACATCATGAAATACTCGATTGTAAGTAAATAATAGGATCAATCATCCTGTGAAATCATTGTGGCTACTAAGCTGCCATTTTTGAGAAGAGAAATTGCCATCATTTCCAAACCATCATGCTGTCCAATGGAAACCTATGCTTTGAAAAGTGACGACGCACTTTTTTGAAGTTTTCTCAAACAGTACGATATCTACTGAGCTGAAATTTCAACAAATTAGTTTTGTTCAATAAACTGCTTCAGAATTATTAAATTGTTGTTCCTTGAGTTAGCAAAATGGTGTCCATTACCTTTAAACTTCAATTTAATATGCGTCTCAAACCACTGGATTTACAATGGCTGTAACCTGTTATATTAAATAATTATAATAAAAACAGAGGTGTAAGTATTCTTATTAAAAAGACATTTTAGTAAAATATAAGATAGAGCAAATATAAGGATAGAGCACTGATTTTCATCGGGTTTTTGTTGCAGTGAAATGTTGTATTTGTAGCATTTTGAGTAACAAGGAAGATGAGTGGTTTGCAAAAATGAAAAATTGGTTTTCTCTATAGGAGATTGAAGATGGATGGGCTGGGTTCTGCTATGAGCTATGGTCATACATAATTCGCAAGGATGAGGACAGTCACGCCTTCCATTGATGATTGAAGCCTGGGTGGATTAGCTCTACTATAAGTTGTGGCCATGCATTATTCATAAGGATGAGATAGGTCGCACCTCATTCATTATGACAAGACCACGCCCCTTTGAGCATCTTTGCACACAGTGTTATTATTGGACTAGCCCAAATTTAGTGCAAAATTTAAAAAAATTGGACATGAATAATTCACTACAATGAAAACAGTCATGTGCACTTCTCAGTCACTCTGAAATTACACTCCATTCTCATTATGTGATACTCAGCTTCTCAACATGTGTAAATTATAACTAGAGTAAGATTTGTTTCTGCATTTTTACTTTGGTGACATGGTCCTTGTATAGTTTATTCTTTTTCATCTTCTTTCAATTTTATTTTTTTGCCAGGCCTTGAAGCGTGTTCTAGACAGGGATCGTCTACCAGAGGAGAAGGCACGACAGCGCATAGAATCCCAGCTCAGTAACCAGGAACGTGTGGATCATTCCAATGTCGTCTTCTGCACCTTCTGGGAGCCAGAAGTCACTCAGAAACAGGTACACGTCGGGTTTAGCCTTTTCGGTCGAGCCCTTCAATTGTTTTTTTTTTACCTTTTACAAAATCCATCAATTCACACAAAAGTTGGGGACAGAAGAGGAAACCCCCCCCCCCCCCAAAAAAAATAGACTCCAAATTTTGCAAGAGCTGCATGTTTCTAATGTGCTTATAAAATAGTCACTTTATACATGTACTTTTTTGCAATTAAAGACATTTTTCTTCATTCAGGATTTCAAACATATATATGAAGAATTTTGTTTTTCAAAAATGCTGCGAATGCTTTTTCATCTTCTTTTGGAATCCCGCCCTCTCCTGGCTGCCCAAAGCCAGTTGTGATTGCTTATTAACCCTCCACACACATTCTGTGCCAAGTTGTCCTTTCACTCAAAATCAATCAAGTGACTGTTTTCAATTATTCAAGATTCCCAGACTACATAAAGCAGGATTGACTGGCTGAGACTGTTTATGTAACTTGATACAGCTATGCCTTGACTGAAGGTGATTGACAGTGTTGTTGACTCGAGTCGCTGACTCGGACGCGAGTGGGACTCGAGATGCTATTTTTTTGTCTTAAGACTTGACTTGACTTGAAAAAAAAAATGACTTGCTGACATTAACACATTTCTTCAAGTTACAAAAAAACACAAACCTCTGGGCGTTCATGCACACTAGCATAGTCGGTTGAAAAGAATGCAGATATACATGGCGAATTAGCAACCAGCATGCGATAGCTAGGCATCCTGAGCCTGCCACACCTCATGTACATGACTAGCACTATGCGTGTGTTATGGACAACATATCATACTCCACCTCGTGCATGCGAGGTGAAGTTTGTGCCGTGCGTAGTCTGAGCACCATCCATTGTTATAGAGCGGTCATTCCTTAGAGACTATAGGCTACACGTACACTTAAAGTGGTTTACCGTAAACGTGCTAAATGCAACTAGGGTTTAAATGACTAGAAAACGGCTGCTACCCCCAATCCGCCATAAAGCAACAAGAATTCACATCATGCATTGAAGGGAATGTACAACATTTGCTTTTGCTGCAATTTTCAGAAATAAATGGATTTGGAGGATTAGTATGTTATAGCAAATATTGTTAAAATGACTTGTTTCACGTTTTGGGCTTGTAAATGCTGGAAAAATCAAGAAATCCAATCATGTTATTGTAGTCTGGTTCCCTGACCCCACTAAAGATGAAACGGAGCAAGTTTTGACTTCGGGGAATTGTAAGGTCAGAGAATCAGTCTAGCAGGCTTGCACCCCATCGCAGGTTTGTAATCAATTGGAAAGAAAATGCAGAAAAATTAATTAGGAAAAATTAGGAACAGTTTTTGAAAAAAATGCAGTTTTCTCCAATGCCGCAGCCTGGTCAACCAACCAGCGTTGGAAAAATACAATTTTTTTGAAAATGTCAGCACACCAGGAGCCTCGATTTTACAGGATGCTTTAGACTGTTATTCCCTAACAATCCAGTAAGGTATTTTGTGAAAATTTGATCATTTCGTTTTGTGATGTTTGCAAATGTTGTATCTTCCCTTTAAACGAAAACGTTCAGAAGGACATTTTGTCAGACGTCCTTCAAACATTATATCAAAATGCATTTTTACACTCTTTAGATAAAAATAAGGTGCTTGAGAGAGGATGTTTGAAAAGTTTGTTTTTTATCTCCTTACATGATGCACGCTTTGATAAACCCCATTCCCATCTCTACTCTGGCTCCATCGTGGAACACATAAACTGGTTCCCGCACGTAGTATGTGCATCTAATATTTAAACAAAAATGACTCGAGACTTGACTTGACTTGAAAAAAATTGACTTGGGACTTGACTTGACTCGTGAAAAATTGACTCGAGACTTACTTGGAAAACAATTGACTTAAGACTTGACTTGAAAAAAATTGACTTGGGACTTAACTTGACTTGCTTAAATTTGACTTGGGACTTGACTTGACTTGGAAAAAAATAAGCCAGCTGTGCCTACCGCTTGTCTTTTGTCTGTTGACTGTAATTATGACTAGTCACTGTGCTTGCTTGAAATTATTATGATCTGACTGTGTAAAAGGCTTGGCAGGGGAAGAGGATTTAGTTTTTGACTGTCTGTGACTGTTCAGATAGCAGGAGGGTTAATTAAGAATACATGAAAACGTAGTTCAGAAATTATGGCTGTTATATATACGTGTATACATTTGTCATAACCGTGCAGTTTTTTTCACATTTTTCAAACGGATATAGCATTTTCGAAACACTCTCTACCAAAGTTGGTGCACTGCAGGTCAAAAAGTACCGTACCTCGATCCCCTCTTACCACAGCGATTTCATTAAAACCATGCTGACATAAGTTGTACATTGTCTATCCATTTGATTGTATCTTAGGTGGAGAAGGCTTGGGCTGGGCTTATGGAGAGATTACCATCTCGTGAAGCTTAATCACAGCAGCCTAAAGTATGACGGCCAAAGGCACCAGGAGCTTGATGTAGCTTTGATGTCATCAAAGGTATGACCCGATCTACTATGAACGTGAACTGTGGCTGAAAAGTAGGGTGTGCTATTTTGGGAATCGGGTACCCGACTGAAAAAAACATGGGTACCAAGGTACCTGTTAAAGAAACCCAACCCCAAAATTTAAATCTCGGAGGTTGCACGGGATGCGACACTTATGACAGTTCTGAAGGTCAGTAACCACACCTACTCCCACAAGTGTGTATTTGCCTGCAATTACGCAAAATGTATGCTTAGCAGCACCACAAAACACAGTTCTATTGACCCCACAATTTGTGGTGACTCCACTCAACTTGACTCGAGTCCCCAAGGGAAAATGACTTGTCTCAAGTCGAGTCACTGTGAGCAAATGACTCGACTTGACTCGAGTCCCTCATCAGAAGATGGCTGATAATACTCGAGTCCCAAAAATATAAGCAAAACATTGTGAAAATGTCTGCAATGACTTACAGTGCAAAATTTATGTTCACGTTACTTTGCGAATACAGAACGGTACAGCGGCCCCTTGTCATGTACAAAAATACAACGTGTCACAAACTCCCACCTCATGGTTCTAGAAGGCACAAAATACTATCCAGGAAATGGATTTTAAACACATTTTCCAATTTGTTGTTTCATCATTGGCTTTGGGCGATAAGTTCTTGGATTCGAATGCTGGCTAAATTTATGCCCTCCTTTTAAAAATTAAATAGATACGTGCCCACTTTTAAACAATCAGAAACAGTTTTGTATCATGCAATTTGGTTTTGATGTTGTCAGCGATTAGCCAAAAAAATTCTAGACCCGAAGCCAAACCAGATAGCCTATAGGATCGAAGTTTCACTTCTTGTTAACTGTTAGTGATACAAATGACTTGGTCTCTTGTCTTTATTTTTTATATGGCGTTCAAATATTAGTGACTCGAATTGACTCAAGCTAAAAATTTGACTCGACTCTTTTCAACCTTCTTGACCTAATGACTTGACTCAACTCAAGTCACTTCTTTAAAATGACGAGACTCGACTCGAGTCACTTCTTTCTAATAACTCAACTCGACTCGAGTCACAAAAAAAACAGTGACTCGTTACAACTCTGCCACAAATTATGTGACATGGTTGCCTCAAATTGTATTCTCATTTTGAATCTTTCTCATTTTGCTTTTTGACATAGAAGTGTCGTTTACTAGTGTCTCATGTCATGATAGACAATTGTGCCAATAAATGTTGTCTTTGATTGTTTGTGTACAGCCCTAAGTGCGCTGTGGTCGTCATTAAGAAGCGAATCAACAATAGATTTTGCTCCTTGAACCAAGGAAATCTCGTCAACCCATCCCCAGGAACGGTGATTGACTCGGTGGTCACCAAACCAGACTTGTAAGTAAACAACTCATTGGAAAAACATCAAACAGAAAACAAATTATTATCCCTGTACACTGTAACTAACAAAAACTTAAAAACTTCTGAAAATCATAAGTTTGTTCTGTTATTATAGACTACTAGTGCAGTGCCCGTTCAAAATGTGCCTGTTTGGAATGGGCACATTGCTTAGTCTCCGGTAGACCCACAAACGTGGCGGTATAGAGTGCAGTGCCCGTGTAACAACGCGCCATATCTACACCTCACCGTTGCGTAATCCTCCCCCTCAAAAAATGGTTGAAGCCCACCTCACTGTTGCGCGATCTTTCCCCTTAAAGAAATGGTCGAGTCCATGCAGCCAACCCTAACCCTAATCCGAGTATTTTTATGACCCTGCTGGATCCAACAATCACCAATAGATACTGAAGTATGCAGCCTGCTGAAACTATTAACATTTATTTTGACTGTATGTATCACTCTGACTGGTCTCCATTTTGTGTCCACAGATACGACTTCTTCCTTGTCAGTCAGTCTGTACGCCAGGGCACGGTCACTCCAACCAGTTACAATGTGATTTGGGACAATTCGGGTCTGGCACCAGACAGCATGCAAAGCCTGACCTACAAGCTCACCCATCTGTACTTCAATTGGCCGGTAAGGAGCGGGGCAAGTTATGAACGGCATTCCAAAGCACTGTGACTATCCTGTATATATGGGGGGGCTAATCGTCCTTACTCGCAGCATGAGCTGAATTGCAAAGGACGTAGCTACAATGTGGTCTTGCCAAAGGCATGCAAAGGCGCCTTAGGCTGCCGCCATACGACCCATGTCTGACCACAGAGCACAGCCAGATCAAAAGTATTGATTTTTGCAGAGGGAAAAAAACTGAGGTCTAGGAGAAAAAGCATCGTGGCATAGGAGAGAATCAACAAACAACTCTCCTCTCATTATGACCCGACTTGGGAATCGAACCCAGGCCACAGAGTTCAACGCTTTACACACTGTGCCACCGGTGCTACCCGATCATAATTGAACCCAAAGCAGTCACGGTAAAATTGGACAGGAGTCAAATCTTTTCAGTTTTTGCAAATTTCACAGCAAGTTATTTGCCATAGAGGTCATCAATTTAGTTTGAAGTGGCACAAGCACAAATAGCTCACGAGTGAATAAAGATGGCAGACGGCTGCTTCAGTACGTGCAAAGTCATAAGACATGTCATGAGAGAACAAAGGTGGCAGACAGCTGCTTCAGTATGTGCAATGTCATAAGACACGTCATGAGGAGATAAAGATGGCAGACGGCTGCTTCAGTATGCGCATGTCATAAGACACGTCATGAGGGAACAAAGATGGCAGACGGCTGCTTCAGTATGTGCAATGTCATAAGACATGTCATGGGGAACAAAGATGGCAGACGGCTGCTTCAGTATGCGCATGTCATAAGACACGTCATGAGGGAACAAAGATGGCAGACGGCTGCTTCAGTATGTGCAATGTTATAAGCCATGTCATGAGGGAACAAAGATAGCAGACGGCTGTTTCAGTATGTGCAATGTCATAAGACATGTCATGAGGGAACAAAGATAGCAGATGGCTGCTTCAGTATGTGCATGTCATAAGACATGTCATGAGGGAACAAAGATGGCAGACGGCTGCTTCAGTATGCGCACGTCATAAGACATGTCATGAGGGAACAAAGATGGCAGACGGCTGCTTCAGTATGTGCAATGTCATAAGACACGTCATGAGGGAACAAAGATGGCAGACGGCTGCTTCAGTATGTGCAATGTCATAAAGACAGTACAGTAATTATAGAGTTCAGTTCCATACTCATCTTGTCTGTTTTTTCTGTTGTTTTGCAGGGAACCATTCGTGTACCGGCCCCCTGCCTCTACGCTCACAAGCTGTCTTTCCTTGTTGGCCAAAGCCTCCACAAAGAGCCCCGGATTGAGTTGGCTGACCGGCTGTTCTTCCTATAGGCAGTAAGACCAGGGGTAATATGTAAACAATAGCTTACGTTTGCCAACGTTAGCAGCTTTTGCTCAAGTGGGACGGACTATTTTCTGCTGAAATTTGCGAATGTTAACAACAAAGGCAAATGGTCTTCCTATGTCGTATTATCAAAATGAAACTTTTATGCTGTAACGCTAAAGCTCCATGTTGGAGATGTCATCACTAGCATAAACAAAGTGACTGGAAAGATTCAAAATAATGTAAATGGGGCACAAAACAGCAATTAATGATTATTTACATCTCTTTCAGTTTGTCATCAGGTTAAAAAAAATATAAAAACTACTTCATGATGAGGGTTTTGAGGTCACAAGAAGTAAAGTCATTCCATGGGTTGGATGGTCACCACCTCAGATTTTATTTTTAATATTCCTCCATAAGATCCAATTGTTGCAATCTTCCATCAGATCCAATTTTTTTTTGCGATCCTTAAGATCGAGTTGTTGTGATCTTCCATGAGATCCATTTGCTGCGATCTTCCATAAGATCCAATTGTTGTGATCTACGGTATAAAGATCCAATTGTAGCAATCTTCCAATTGTTGCTATAAGTTAAAAAGAAAAGTTAATCAAGAATATTTTGTAGACTTAAATTGTAGAATTGTGAACTTGCACAAAATGAAGGCTTGTAGATGAAATGTGAATTTTTTAAATGTGATTTATTTTAAGTCACACAAGTTCAAAAAAACAACACAATTTTTTGAGGTTTCTGCAAGTCTTTTCCAAAAGTGTATAGCAGTTACAATTTAGAAAATCCATCATGTGGTTTGTAATTTGACTGAAGCACGATAGCAGTGTTTTAATTGTTATGTACATCTTACATCCTGCCAAAATGCCTTTGAACAAAATAATGACTGTAAATCTTCAAAATGAAGTTTTTTATACTTACAATTTTCCCTGTTTAAGAAAGTGTGAATAAAAATGTAGGTTCAATTTTGTTCTAAGAAATGTTAGCAATTGCAGATTGAAGTCTAGCAGTGATGTATAGTCAAAGGGGCTTTGAATGAGACTTTGAACATGGACACGTCACTTTGCCCATATGCAGGCTTACAATGTTGCCAAATTTCTGATTGGTATTCTTAACCTAGTCTAGTGTTTGCATGGTGCTTGTGTTCTTGAGCAAGCCACTTTACTGTGACTTTATACTCTCGAATACCGTGTACTGAGAAACCTAAATCTTAACATAGTGCAACCGTGCAGCACAAGAAAACAGAATTTTGTTTGAAGTGAGTCCAACACATAGACCTCATGCATCACAGGCATCTCAGAGGCTGTTCGTTGTTATTTTAATCTAATAACAATGAATACACAAAGGCTAGACTCATGCCTAGCCAAGCAATACCAAACCATTGCCCTCTAACTCCACCCTAATGCATAAGGTCTAACCCTGCTATTCCCAGTGCAGTTGGCAGAGAATTATCAGACCTTTCAAAACATTTTAAATTTGCCTGACTAAAAGGGTTTTGAAAGGTGAAATAGTGCTGGAACTTTGAATCTTTTCGAAAGGTTTCGGAAGGTGAAGCAACTCTGTGGGCAAATTCAGTAAGTTGCCTTTCAGTACCTTTCGAAAGGAATTGAAAGGTGTGTCAGTGCAATAACAATAAATTCTGGAGGATTTTAAAAGGTCCTGCATTTTTTGTCCTCCAATTTGCCAGAACCCGATTTTGAGGTGTTTTGAATGGTCAAACCACAGGAGAGGTGTGGTCTGTAACATGTTTGAAATCTTGTCATAGGTTTCTCTGGAATCTCTTTTCGCAGCCTTGCATCCAGTCTGCTAATATTGTTCTTTTTTCAAGTTGGACATACATGGCACCAGTCTAGTCTTTCACTTAAAATGTTAAAATTGGTTCATGCTTCCAAATCACTTGGAATAGTCGATTTTTTTAGTTTGAATTAAGACTTTTAATTCGATATGATTAAAATACTAATGATCTCATCGTTGCCTTATACAAAAATGGCAAACTTGCCTGAATACATATGTCCAACATTTAAGATTGTTATTTTAATCAGTGATTACTAATGTGCTTTCATTTCGTTCTATTAATTATCAATTATTAACTAATTCTTAAGTAATTGTATCTTATTAATTAGTTGGTTCTTAGAGTTCTTTAAATGATTGCATATTTTTATTAGTTTGGATTCATTTGTATTATTTTTTCTGGGTGTTATTTTTTTTGGGGGGGGGGTCAATTTATTTCATCCCGAGTGTTTATATTTTGTGTTTTTCCTTCTAATTTCACTTTGTAACTTCATATAGTTTGGGTCGAATAAATAATAATAATAACAATAATTATGTCTTGATCCTTTTTATGCTGATGCTCATGCCTCTGAAGTAGTATAAATGGATGTATAGTCACAAATAATATATAATTTCCCCTATTTTTATTGAAGTGGAGTGCTGTGGCCTCGTGGTTAAGGGCATTGGATTCGTCGTCTGCGGGTAATTCTGCAGGTTGTGGGTTTGAGTCCAGCCAGGGGTTATGGTATGTGTGCCCTTGGGCAAGGCACTTTGTCACTCATTGCTTCTCTCCACCCAGGAGTAAATGGGTACCTGTGAGGGCAGAGATGGTTATTGTGATTGAATTAGCTTCCTCGCTCCTAACAGGCATCATCGAGCTGTATACTCCCCAGGGAGCTGAGATGGTATTTGGAATGTTTCATTGGCCCACTTTTGTTTGCTGCCCGCAACGACGACTTTTACACAGTTGCACGTTCGGGTCGAAACTGGACCTGAAAAACAGCTCTCAAAAGTACCTTTTGTACTCATTTCATGACAGAAACAATAGTCGTTTTTATTTCATCACACCTTAGGCTACATATACCCGAAAAATGACGGAAATGTCTTTGAGCATTCCACAACCTCTTTAATGTAACTGAATAAACGTATTCAATGGTAAAGGCAGCTCTATTTTTATCAGTCTTGGGTGAACTTCGTTGCTCCTGTGTGAGGAACTCTGTTTCCTTCACTGTCAGCTGCACGCCCCCTCCTTTTTTTCTCGTCCCCGAATACAAATTGTAGCCTAGGCCTACATTTGATTCTATAGTTCAGAATAGCTGATTCAATGACTCAAAACTCGAATGTTTAAAATTAATGATGATCTTTTGCTGAAGTGGTCAGAAATTGCCTCAGATTGCACTACAGAGCATCTAGATTCCAAAAGTTGTTCGGGGGCCCGAACCCCGGCCACGCCATAAGGGGCTTCGCGCTTCGCATTGGTTCTGATTAAGGTATGCCCCCCCCCCCCCTCCCCGCCTACCCAACTATCGAGAAGCTATTGATGCCCTTGACTGGATTAAAGATCGTATATACTAAACACCCCGAAGAAATCGAGAAATGTACGTATAGGTGATTTCCAACGATTTATCAATTGACTGAGTTTAGGAATAAAGATTTCTATTGTGACGAAATCGTCTTTCGTGAACAAAAGGTTCCAGTTGTGCATCCCCCCACTTATGTATTGTCCACTGAGCTGAAACTTCAACAGGTAAGGTTTTGAACCTTCTTCTTTGGAGTTTGGGTGTTATTATTGGAAACGAACAAACTAAGGGTAAAAACCAAACGATCATATACGCTTCTGCTTTTTATTTTAAGTAAATGTCGGAGAACATTTCAAAACATGTTTTGGTTAAACTTCTACGATGAAGAAAACAATATTAAAAGTTCTGAAATAGTGCTCGTTTAACAAAGTGCAATTTTAATTTTGTTTCGGGCGAATTTTCACAAATCTACATTTCAAATCGTGATCAATGTCTTTTTTGCCCCTGCGAGTTCTGCTAGTCTATTTTGCTCGTGTTTTTTTTTTGATAAGAGTGTAGATACACTTATCGAAGTTTTTAAATGTTGAACTCCCAATTTATTGCCGGGTGCTAAAAAGGCATCAAAACGAAAAATTTGGTGATATAATAAGAAAACAGTCCCCAAAACGCTAGGATTCTAGCACTGTCCGATCAGATCGAGACCGCGTCTGTCACTGCTTGGGCTTAGGCCTACATTTGACTTTTACCAAAGAAATGTTCACGAGCTTGTTTACCTCCAATTTACGCAACAATTGTAAGCACGTCAGCTGTGGGACTCTCCACCTGTTAATTGTTTAATGAACTTTCGCTCCCTTTTAATATTTCGTCTCATCATCATCCGGTCGAGACCCACCATTGTTGGTTGAGGTGTACTATAATTATTATTGCATTTAAATGAGGTAAATCTATTCTTTTTAGCAATTCAGGTAAATGATTTTGTTTTGTTTTGTTTGTTTTGGGCTGTTAATACCAAACACAATACGAATTACATTGTAAATGTAATCTTCTGCCTTTCTGTTTCCTGAAACCTGCTGAAAATATATTTCAACTTTTCTCATTTTCTTGAAATCCTCGAGGGTTTTTTTTTTGGGGGGGGGGGGGAGTAAGCCTATAGCTACTTGTCTTCCAAAAAACCTAAACCTCCGCCGTGATGAGAGTAGTATTGATTTGTTGGCATGCAAAGGGTGAAGTTTTCCAATTTTGTTCTTAAATTCCAGTCTCTCTTCGGGGACGAATACATTGGCGCACGTAGTGCTGTTTGTGTGCTGAACCGGTGGATTTGCAGTGTGTTTGATGGCAATAATTGCCTTGTTTGGATCTAATATTGAATTTACATCACCCAGACGCAAATTAATTGTTCGGATCTAATTTTCTGCTGCTTAGTCTGACAAAAGAAAAGCGGATGTCCGCGTTTGGTCTGCCCAGCCATTACAGAAAAACATAACCTGTATCTCTGGTAACAGAAAAACAAAAAGCTAAAAAATTGAACCTTCAAAAACTTTTAAACTGCTGTCTGCTATTAATTTGCACGTGACACCCGTTCGCTACCCTTCGCTCAGTTTTCTTATTAACAGCGCCCTCTTGCACCAAATGGTAAAAACAAAAACACACACATGACATGCATGACATGTGCTCATCTCAATTATTTGCAAGAAGTACCCTGGACTTCATGGACTTTGGAGGTAGGAAAACTGCTCTTTTGATATTCCCGTAAGTATTTCTTGAAGAATAACATTGAATAAGCCCCTTAAATGTGGCCAATTTACTGGACTACCTCCGTAAATAAAGGCCACACCGTCCACCATGTACAAAAACATGTCGAACTTTGTCAAGTTTGATTTTCACATTTACAGATTTAGGCTTAGCTGGAGTTACATACCCAGCCCTAAATTTTTTCATTGGGTTGTCATTTATGACAAGTTTGTAGCTTGATGAGTAACTCCAGCTGACATGCTCATATTCATCTCACATGTAGCTAGGCCCTACATCATGTGAATGAATATGAGCATGTCAGCTGTGGAGTTACTCAAGCTACAATGTTTATAGGTTTTTTTGCTTAAGAAGCATGTCGAGCGCAATTTGAGTCCCCCGCTTAAACTTGCACGCACAAGTTTAAACTTGCGCGAGGGACTCCCGAAGCGGTCCGCAAATTACACTGCGCCATTTTGATTTGCGCAAAGGCGATCGCAATTTGAGCATCTTGCGGGCGGGATTTTCATTGATGAAGAAAAGCAATGTTACAACTTACATGGAGAAATAAATTAATAAATAATGAAATAAATCAATGAACAAAGACATAAATAAAAAGGGGAATTCAATTAGTGTCAATGAAAAGAAACATTCAGATTTAGCAATGCTTATTAGATTATTTTTTTAGGGGGCGGGGGCAGGGAGGGGACCGGGCAAGCAATCAATAAGCACACTAGCGGCGATTGCTTCGAAAGTGTACTGAAGTTGTTCAGTAATGGAGACCAGCTTCAAGTTTTTTGCCTTATATTCTTAAATGTAAATAAATCACAATTTTCTGGGGTATCCCGTTGTTAACGTCAAAAGAATGATTATGATCCCTTCAATTTATTGTTCATGTTTTGACGTACGTTATAGTAATCATTATTTTTTAAATGCTTTGAATTACATTACATGTACCAGAGTTGTAACGAGTCACTGATTTTTGTGACTCGAGTCGAGTCGAGTCATTTTAAAGAAGTGACTCGAGTCGAGTCATTAGGTCAAGACGGTCGAGTCGAGTCGACTCAGTCGAGTCGAGTCACAGTGTGTAGTCAAGTCAAGTCGAGTCGAGTCGAGTCGAGCAAGTATTTAGCTCAGTCAATTCGAGTCACAAATATTTGAGCACTATACCATAAATAAACACAAGAGAGAAAGTCATTTTTTTGGCTTTTTAAATTTGACATTCGGGCTACTGCATGTGGCGACACCACATTTGGCTCTTAATGAAAATAAAAAGGGGGTGCCAGCTGATCGTCATTCAACTAATGGGGACACTGATCAAACTGTATACATTATTCGTGAACATTCTAACGTGACGTGAACAAAAACTGGCACCGGCGTAAGTCATTGCAAATATTTTTCGCCAAGTCGAGTCGAGTCATTCTGATGAGGGACTCGAGTCGAGTCGAGTCATTTGCTCGCAGTGACTTGAGTCAAGTGGAGTCATTTGCCCTTAGGGACTCGAGTCGAGTCGAGTCACCAAAAGAAAAGTTGTGACTCGAGTCGGACTCGAGTCGAGTCATTGACTCGAGTCATTACAACTCTGACATGTACTCAATTAAAGAAGTACTTATTCTTAAAAAAAAATAGTCATTTAATTAATCTAGCAATTAATTAATTGGACGGTACAATAATTCATTTAAAAAAAATAAAAATACTTTGCATAACATTTCGAGCGCTGTGTACACTTCAAAAATGCATAATTTGAAAAAAATTCACGAACTCATTACTAATTTAATTAATTAATTTAAATAATTCAATTTTTTATTTGCAGGCTCAATAATTCATATTTAATGTTTATATGTTTTAACTTAAAAAATGCTATGCATATAAAATGGTCATTATTTTAAAAAGTAAATAAATTTATTAATGATTTAATTAAATAATTAAATTTATTAATTTAATTAATTAATTTGACTTAATGAATAAATATGTTGTTTATTGTTTATTAAACAAAATCCTAATGAGCCATAAACAATAATACACATCGTGATGCAAAGTGCATAAATTGTTTGCATTAATTAGCACCCCTTATCTCTGAACCTCTACACAGTCAACCTCATCAGCATAATATGTTTCAAAAAAGGCATTAATTTAGGCATTGTCTCACGAAGCACAGTGGTGCTATTAATTGGAGAAAAACATGCTTTAAAAATATTGTTACATATCTGCATGAGTTTTTATACCAGGAAAAAAATTAGTTCAGCGGCTTTGCATGCATGGGGAAAATCTATGTAGCGCACAAGTTGAAACTTGCCTGCGCAATTTGTAGCAAGGAAATTAATGCACGCGCAAGTTTAAACTTGGGTGCGCGCAGGTTTAAACTTGGGTGCGCGCAAGTTTAAACTTGGGTGCGCGCAGGTTTTAACTTGCTCGCGCAAGTTTAAACTTGCGCGGGGACTCAAATTGCGCTCAACAAGCATACTCACCCTATTTATAGGCTAATCAGAAAGTGCTGCCTTTTCTAATTTTCGTGAAATTTCATATTGAAATTTTGATACGCAAACGGGTGCAAACGAATCTGGAAATTTCACGAAAAATACTACTATAAATGCTTCTAAAGCCAAAAAAACCTACAAACTAAGCCCAAATGTGAAAATCAAAATTTGACAAATTTCGACATATTTTTGTACATGGTTGAAGTGTGGCCTTTATTTACGGAGGTAGTCCAGTAAATTGGCCACATTTATGGGGCTACCATTGAATGAAACTCGAATTTTAGTACGGTCTGACTGAACTGACGAATGATTGACCTCTCTACCCATTTTCTTGTAAAAAGTGAGAGGAACAGTGGTGTTCTTGATAATCAACAGTGGGAGTCGAGGGCACGCAGCGCCAGCAAATGGCAATGCCAGCAGCATATAGCCAGCAAACACAAAAATTGATTCATATTTTAATCTACACACGTGTCCATTGTGGGGGGGGGGGGTAGTTGGCGGAGGGGGGGTGGGAGGGGGAGCATGATGCTACATTGGTAGACCCTTCAAACCTACGCCATCTTACTTCTACGTAGCCCCATAAATGTGGGGCACTGAGCCAATCTCGCAGAGATTATGATCGATCGATGATTTTCGGTTCGCTCGATCGGAGCGTGTTGTGGGGGGTACGGTACTTGCACTCGTACGCATGCGCATACTATCATTTCGCATGTACCGTACCCCCCGCGGCGCGCTCCGAGCAAACCGAAAATCATCAATCGATCATAATCTCTGTGTGCACGTTTTAGAGCCTAAGTGTCAGATTGGCTCAGTGCAGAAAGGGCATATTTTTCATCATTTTGGCCTAAAAACCGACAGAATCCAGCGATGTTTGTTAAGCGCACATATATAACGTGAGTATGTCATGAGGTATTGTACGAGGTTTAGTGGCAAACTGTGCAGCAGTTCTGTGGGAAATGTCTCTGTTTTGATGGACATTTTGGTACTTAATTGGTGTTTTTGTGCTGCAAACAATTTTGCAAGGTTCTGTGTAGCATCATAGTTCTAGGAGTAATCACAGGGCACTTTGATTGGTCACCGTGGAGACGCTCAATCGAGATGCCATGTGATTGGCCCATTGAGGCCTCTAATTGAGGTGACCAATCGAAGCACCCTGTGATTGGTCTGTCTGATGCTTGGGGGAGGGGGGGGGGGGTAGTCCTGGATGCCACAGTGGTGGTGCTCAATCTCTGTAACATCCATGGGCGTCAGTTGGATAGGGACGGGGGGCGCTGGAGGGGAACGAGTCCCACTTTTTTATCCTTGAAAAAAACACTCCGACCACGGTTCCATGGTGCAACAAATTTATTGACATTGCGTACTGATGGGGAAGCAGTGTAATAACAAATGAAAACCTAGTGATGGTGACTGACTCACTTGAAGTTATTGACACATTTAAAAAAGGCAAAATCAATTCCGTGTGAGCCACTTCAATGAAAATGGCATAACTCCTCACCACGCCACTAATATGAAAAATTAAAAATTCCTGTGGAAGACAAGGTGATGACCTTTTATATAACATGCTCATTTTTTTCTCAATATACTCTATGTGCCACAAATAATGGTGAACTTAGATCCAGATCATTCTGACTCACCCTGTACACTTCCGGATCATCGACAGTTCCAGATCATTTGATTAAAATAAAAATTAATTAAATTGTTGCCAAATTTTTTTGTGAGATTTTTTCCCCTGAATTTGAAGGTCTATCATATTGCAATTGGCAGGGAATTTTTTTTTAAAACATAATTACCCACGATCCAGTTCAGCAAAATATCCGCTTGCTTTGTAACTGGCCTGTGAAAGGAAGCACATGAAGGCAAAAGTCTGGTTTCCTTTGGAACGTACCGGTAGCCAACATTCATCGGTTTTTTTTCGTTACTGTATTAGGTTTTCTTGTAAGGAAATAATCACAAGCATCACTGAGTAATAATGATTTTGGCATTTGAATTAAATTAATTGCTGTATTCGCCGAAAGATTTTTATCCCCACGAGCGACAGTTGTGGATCACCCATGCACAGGATGCAGTATTGTGTGCAGTTTAGATGATGAAGGCGTAACACGCGATGCTCGCGCACTGAGCATGCTTTGAAAGATGAATATGTACATGTACCAGGTAGCACAGCGTGTGTGATCTGGAGCTGTCAAAAATGATCCACAACTGTCTAGTTCAGTCCTGTACAAAAGCCATGATTTGTTTCCCTTTAAGTTGAGTCTGTGTGAACATATTTGGTTTTAACTTGAAGAGGAGGAATTTACGAAATGATGTCACTCGGAAACTCAGAACATGGGCGGGTGTAAGCGGTTTGTATAAAAAGTGATCCAGAATTGTCACACTGATAGTATTTTGCTCAAAGAAATTGCCTCTGATTGCACCACAGGGTGTCTAGAATTCAAACATTTTCGGGGCCCTTAATCGGACCCCACACCCCACGTCGTTAGGGCTTCGCGCTTTGTGCTCGCATTACTTTTGATCAAGGTACATGGATGTCCCCCCCCCCTCCCCACTTTTGAGAAGCGATTGGCGCCCTTGGTAGCATCCATGCTGAGTAGACGGGTTTATTTTCACCGCAGTGGATATCGTTTTGGCGGCATGGACTGATGCTGTACGGGCCCCTCTTTTAGTTTTATCAAATGAGAGTGTGTTTTATCATTCAAAAATGTCCTTTTCAACCTCAAGCAGACTTCTCAGTTCTCTCAACTCTAATGACATCTTTTTTGTAATTTAAAAAAAAAATTTGGTAGAAATAATTATTTTTGTACGCGGTTTAGGTACTGTGGGAATCAGTGCGATTCATCTTTCCTGATGGACATCAGCAATCACCCAGATGACATTTTAGGCTTGCAGTTTGCAGTCATGGAACCCTAATATCTTAGTTTATTCATAAGGAGCCTTCCTGATTTCTTGAAACCTGGCTCTGAGCAGGAAAAACCAAATGACACAATTCATGAAAGGCCCATTGTCCTCTACCTTTCTCAATCCTTAAAGAAAAAAAGCCTCGCAAACTGTCAGTGACATGTACAATTCTACAAAAACACCTTTGCAAGCAAGCTGATTAGAGTGGGACTCAAACCCACGACCTCTTGCTATTCAACCGCTGGATTCTCCAACTTGAGGAATTAAAATCTGCGTTTTAAAACTGTTGTTTGTCTTTAATTTGCAGCTGGATTTCTTGGTGAAAGCATCAGGGCTTTGTGCAGGAAGTGACAGGTTGAAGATGAAATTTAGGTGAGCACTTCTTTTTCTTCAACATACTGGGTACATTTAATTTGTAACAATTTAATTGGACTGTCAGATTGGCTATTTAATTAAAATGGTTCCTATAATAAGTAAAAAGCTTGATGCCTTTTTAGAGTTGGTCCATACATTAGTGCCAGTTTTAGTATGTACCGTAGGCCTACTTTCAAATAATTATTCAAGCAGTTTTAAGTGCATTTTATTATAGTTTCTCATAATTAAAATATGCCGCTAGAAATATTTGGTGGATCAGTGTCACATTTTTGTACCAAGCTGTGTAGGCCTAAAACATGTACATGTTGACTAAAGGCTCAAAGGTGAATTAATTTGCATTGAATTGATGCTGAGCTTAAAATAACACTTCTGAACACTTGAAATTGCGTCTTTCGATAAGAAAAATAAGTCACCCATTGACTCGTCAACTTTGTAGATCTTTCCATGACAGCAGACCAAACAAAACACTTCAGCGTGAACTTCAGTGTTGACTTAGAACAATTTGGGAAAACCCAGATGCATTTCTGTAGGTCTACTGGGACAAATGTAGTTCATATAATATCGATACGCGATTTGCCACAATTAAAAACGGCCTTTTATTTTTGTACTAAGCTATACATGTATTTAGTACCGGTATGAAAATAGTCTTATTAGGACAAGAAACAATTATTAAAAGTGCATATTTTGTTTCATTGGGTGTAACCTGCTTGCATGTGACAGAATATCAAAGTCATCTGTCAATAACGTGTAAGGTTTTGAGTCCATACCATATATTGATATTATCGCGAGATTAATTTGCATAATGTAGTTCCGTCAAGTGGTCATGAGACTGGTGGGTGTAGCAGCTGCAGTGCTTCAGTGTCATCTTTGATGTCTCTGAATCAACCCGATTCAAACTTAACTGTAAGTTTTGCTAAGTCATTTCTTTAGTTTTTGGTTCTTTTTTTGTTTCATGGGTTATACTAAACGTTGGGGGTAGCCTATTTAGAGTTTTGCTGTCACAAGTTACCAATCTCACTGACTGACGGTCAACTGTGCATTAGCAGAGCAGTTTCTACCAGTGACTCAAGACCACTTTTTCTCGGTCTCGGTTTTGTTTTGGTCTCATCCTATCAGAGTCTCTGTTTCATCCTATCAGAGTCTCAATCTCGAACGGGCTGGTCTCAGTCTTGAAAGTGCTGGTCTCGGTCTCGGTCTCGGTCGCCAAAGTCGCATGTTTTACCCCTGTGACCCATCTAGACCACAAAATGTACCATCTACGCACAGCTTTATTCATGTGCAAGCTGAATTAGGTGAAAACCTAGTCTTTATTCCAAACATAAACAACATTCTAAGGACAAATTTTAATGCTGAAGAATGATATTGAAGCTGGAATGAAGACCAGTGTGTTACAGCTTTTCATTCATTATTGACAAACAGGACTTCCATTTGTGGCTGGGTGATCCAAAGTACCATGGGCCGTGCACAATCTAAAGCAGCCTGCCGGACTGCTGTCCCTACCACGATGCAACAGGAGGCACCGGTACCCACCCCCTCAGCTGCAACAGGTGAGTACATGTAGTAGCTAGAGCATTTACACGGGGTCAATGAGGGAGGGGCAATAACTCCCCCTCCCCACTCACCTGCCCACACACCCACCCACCTCACCACTTTGATAAGATTTTTTTAAGTTGTTGGGTTTCAACTTCTTTTTTGGACGTTCAGATTTTTCATAATCACATATCTTGATAAAAACAATTAGTTTTCCTAGCGTGGATGACAACTAGGGATTAAGGGGAGTCAGGTTGGCATAGTGGTACTTGCCTCGCCTTCCATGGGCCAATATGTGGTTTGGGTTTCAGTCCTTGATTCCGTGGGTTTTTCCCAGAATATTCTTCTGGTGTTTTTAACCCACCTCTAAAACTGTCATTTCTTCTCATTGTCTTCTCTCCACAGGTTTCTTCAGGCTTGCTAGCTACAGTGCAGTGCCCTGGTTTCATTACCAGAAATAAATAAATAATAGAAGATGAAGTCAAGTACATGAATAATTTTGTCGATGTCCATTTAAGAGATATTTTAATTATTCTGATTTTAGATTCCCCAGAACGAACTGGAGCCATCCGAAAGATCGGCACAGTCAGTGGTAGCAACAATCCTACCATTGTTGGTTCAAATGTCAACTTCTACAGCTCGCCGTTGGATGGAGCAGGTAAATATGATCTTGTTTGTTGCACTAATTGATATATTAGATCAGGTGTTAATGTATTTGTGGGGGGGGGGGGGGGGGTGGAGGTGATATGCTACACAATCAGGGACACAAAGGGCGGATTGCTGGTAATGGGAGAGAGAGTCACCAATTTCTTGCTTCAACTATAAACCAGTTTGTAATAGGATATAGGCCTCTGGTGAGCACATTAGGAGGGTGCTATTTATAGGGGGTAAAGTCTTGTAATTTGTTCTTTATGTACCCACGCCAAATGGTGCCCCCTATTATGTGTCACATTTGAAAGAAAATGAAAAAAAGTGAAGATAGTTTTACAGAAGTCACATACATAAGTATTAATAGCCCAGCCATTTCATCTACATCCCGCCACCTCCGATCGCATTCTACAGCCCATCCTCAGTTACTGCCTGGACCTAAAACCAAAACCCGCTATGGCGACCGTGCCTTCTCTGTGCTAGCCCTGAAACTCTGGAACTCTCTTCCCATCCACGTCCGTGAAACTGATTCATTAGACTCATTTAAGATAGTACTTCAGAGCTTTCTTTTTTTTCACAAGCCTTTGATCAGTAAATTGATATTTGTACAAGAAACAACTGTGCACTTTGAAACATGGGGGAGCGCATTATAAATGTTGTAAGTTATAGTTATAGTTATTAATTTTGCACTTATAAATAAATGAATGGAATAATGAATCAACTTTTTTAAAGCCTACACACTGCAGTTACCAGTTTTTGTCTTAATTTATTTTTTGTTGATAAAAATGTGAAAGTTAAACCAACTTGCGCAAGTTTGTGTCTAACAAAGATACAAAAGCCACAACATTCTTTTTGTTTATTTTTTGGGGTAATTTTATTTTGTACACTGCCTCACTGACGAACTGTAAATCTCAAGTCACCACTTCTTTTACATGTCTGCCTCTGTAGAAGTAGCCTATTCAATTATTTCAGAAACAGTGTTTCAGTGAAATAATACATTCAATATTGGGTTTTGCCCTCCACTGACGTGGTATTTCATAAACGCGCTATACTCAGTGTAGTCCCGAGTAATTATGAGAACAATCACTAACCTGTGACCTCCTGCTTACTAGTGCATGTTGCTTGTTTGACCTCAACAGTAGTATCTCCACAGACTCGGAAACCAGACCAAGAATCAAGAGTGGGGGATCTCAACCAAGAAGTCGGTAACAAGACCAGGGACATTTTGAGGAAATGGTACAAGACAACAGGTTCTTATGTTCAGTTTAACCCCGAGGTTCCTGACGATCAAAGACCCATTGTTGGCATTTACACTAAATTGCGGGTTAGAACAAAGAAAGGTACTGCAGAAGAAGAATACTCTGAGGAAACTGTATATTCCACAGAGTATGAGAAAATATTGAAAGATTGGCCTGAGACTGGGTTCAATCGTGCTATTTTATTTGGCATAGGTGGTGTCGGCAAGTCAACCATTTTTGACAAGATTGCATATGACTGGGCTGATGAGGCATGTGAAATCCTGAAAAGATTCAAGCTTGTCTTTCTGTTAAAGATGTGTGCCCTGTTGCAAAAATCTGATCTTGTTGATGCCGTTTTTGATCAACTTCTAGGTGAAACACCTGAAGTAGCCAAAGATGAACTTGATAAATTCATTCAGGCTAACTCAAATAAGGTCTTGATTCTGTTGGATGGTTTTGATGAAATGAGGACCAAAACACTTGATGCAGCCTCATTCGGTTCTATCCTAAAAGCACTCAATAGAAAAAAATACCGAAAATGTTGCATCTTTGTCTCAACTCGCCCCTCTCATTTTGAGACACTGAAGTCACTTGTCCAAAATCCTTGCACACACATAGAGGTTCTGGGGTTTACCAAGGAGGATGTTAATGAATACATTCGGAAATTCTATTACAAAGATCCTATTAGTGGCAATGCACTGATCCAAAGCATTGAAAAATCCAACACGCTGCTCGATTTGTTCACGTATCCAATGCTTCTCCTTCTCATGTGTTTGTTGTGGAGGGAGAATAAACAACTCCCCAAAACAACTTCACGCCTCTTCACTAAGGCAGTTGATTACATGTTCACAAGAAAAGGATGTAGCTACGAAGATGCATCAAAAGCAGTGATTGCTATAGGAAAAACTGCACTAAGTAGTTTCATAAGTGCTGACCACAATTTCTCATATCAAATTGATGAGTTTGAACAAAATGCGCTGCACCTTGCACTGAAAGCGGGCATCCTAACCCAGCAGAGAGTTATCAAAAACCTCAAATGTCACAACAACATACAATTCATGCACAAGACTATTCAGGAATTCTGTGCTGGTAAATACTTGCAAAGTGTACATATGTCAAACCAGGGATTTGTAAAGAGTGAAGTGTACGAAGTTGAACCATTCAGTGAGTTTCAAAACTATTTAAAGCAACTTTGTCAGACAATTGAGGACATTGTTTCACATGATTTCCTTTTACGTTTTTGTTGCGGTGACAATGAAAAGTGCATGACTGACATCGTGAAATTGCTTGAACATAAATTTGAGGATCGATATACAAGTACGTCAAGGTACCAATCGTCTGTTGCACAAGCGATTAGTAGACAATGTTTTTTTGAAAGCCAAGCCAAAAATGTCCCACAGTGTCTCAACAGCGACTCACTTATCCCATCAGCTATTGAGGTGGATAACAATAATGATTTCCGCATTCTCATATACCTTCTCGAAATCATCTGTAGGTCAGATGGCTTGATGGCACAACTGTCACGCGTTGAAACCATTAAGGTTTCTTCCGTGTCTTTGGTCAGTGGTTTAGCCGTCGCCCTGGGTTACATGGAAAACCTCTGGTGTCTGACATTCTGCAAATGTTCTTCAATGAAGGGTGATCTTGAGAAAATCCTGGCATCACTGAAATGCAACCAAGTTTTGACCAATCTACACATAGATGACTGCAATACATTGGGAAGTAGAGCTGTAGAATGGGCCCCTCATATCAAACACTTGACAAGCCTTAAGAGACTTGAAGTAAGATCGTGCAAACTGGAGAGCACAGACATTGAACACATTGCCTCAGCTGTACATGACATGCCCAAACTGACTTACTTGAGGCTTGACTGCAACCGGACACTGGGCCGATCCGCTGACTTGTGGGCCAAGGAATTACCCAGAATGATGCACTTAAATAAGCTGAACCTGAGCTCTTGCAATTTGACACGGTCAGACATTCCACACATTGCCTCAGCTGTAGGTAACATGCCCAAACTGACTGAGTTGGAACTTAATGGCAACGACCCATTGGGTGGATGTGCTGCATTGTGGGCCAAGGAATTGCCCAAAATGATGCACTTAAATAAGCTGGACCTGAACTATTGCGATTTGACACAGTCAGATATTCCACACATTGCCTCGGCTGTAGGTGACATGCCCAGACTGACTGAGTTGGATCTTTGGGGCAACAAGTCATTGGGTGGATGTGCTGTATTGTGGGCCAAGGAATTGCCCAAAATGATGCACTTAAATAAGCTGGTCCTGCGCTATTGCCATTTGACACAGTCAGACATTCCACACATTGCCTCGGCTGTAGGTAACATGCCCAGACTGACTGACTTGCATCTTGATGGCAACGATCCATTGGCTGGATGGGCTGCATTTTGGGCCAAGGAATTGCCAAAAATGATGCACTTAAATAAGCTGGACCTGAGCTGGTGCAATTTGACACGGTCAGACATTCCACACATTGCCTCGGCTGTAGGTAACATGCCCAGACTGACTGACTTGGATCTTGGTAACAACTGGTCATTGGGTGGATGTGCTGCAGTGTGGGCCAAGGAATTGCCCAATATGATGCACTTAAATAAGCTGGACCTGTACCATTGCAATTTGACACACTCAGACATTCCACACATTGCCTCGGCTGTAGGTAACATGCCCAGACTGACTGACTTGGATCTTGGTAACAACTGGTCATTGGGTGGATGTGCTGCAGTGTGGGCCAAGGAATTACCCAATATGATGCACTTAAATAAGCTGAACCTGTACCATTGCAATTTGACACACTCAGACATTCCACACATTGCCTCGGCTGTAGGTAACATGCCCAGACTGACTGACTTGGATCTTGGTAGCAACAAGTCATTGGGTGGATGTGCTGCATTGTGGGCCAAGGAATTACCCAATATGATGCACTTAAATAAGCTGAACCTGGGCTGGTGCAATTTGACACACTCAGACATTCCACACATTGCCTCGGCTGTAGGTAACATGCCCAGCTTGACTAGGTTGAGCCTATTTCGCAACGAGGCATTGTATCGATTGGAGTTACAGTCCCTCTTCCCATCACTTAGTGTTGAATTTTAATTCTCCCTTGCCAAACCCACTCTTGAATTACATGTACTAGGCATAACAGTATCAAAATGATCACATTCTCTGTAAAAGGAAATGAAATTTACAAGAAAATCAACAAAATTAGAGGGCCTAATGTTTCAATCCTAAGCAGGACCATTCTCACAGGCAAAACATTGTAATACATTCTCCATTAAGATCGTCAGTAGGGTCACATACTGCATGTAAGACAATTACCTGTTTTTCATAAAAAAAAACTATAAAATCAGAGACTTGTGCACATTCTAAAAATAACCAAAAACAGATAATTTAAATTTGTTATTCCAGGATGGCTGTTTGCAATTTAAACAAACATCATAACACTTTCTCATGTCAGGTGGTCAGTAGTGTTGCACTGCGTGTAGGACAATTAGCTGCTAACCCTCTACATATGACACTGTTAGTTTGTCATCAATGCCTGGTTATAGATATAACCCTGTATCTGGTTCAGACTGAGATTGGACCTGAGACTCTTCTGGGTCAAAATGACATTTTCTTGGTCAAATGGCCAGAAAGGTGACTCAAGAGAAGCATGATTTTGACCCTAAAAAATGTCAGGTCAAATCTGACCCAGATTTGGGTCGAATCTGACCCCTGGACTTTTTAGAGTCTTTATGATTTGCTGATTTGGTTAAGGAGAATGGACAAGAAACTGTAGATTCGTGCTAAGAATGGACGGGGCGAATCTGGCACAAATCTACAGTTCCAAGTCTATTCTTCGACTTAAACTATTTGTGAATAACTGGAGATTCCACGATATTGCCCCGGAAAAATGTCAGGTCAAATCTGACCTGGGACTTTTTAGAGTGTCTATGATTAGCTTATTGGGTCAATGAGAATGGACAAGGAACTGTACATTCGTGCTAAGAATGGACGGGACGAATCTGGCACAAATCTACAGTTCCAAGTCTATTCTCTGACTTAAACTATTTCATAAAACAACAATAGTTTATGCAAATAAGATCCCTGGTTGACCTCAATCTCCAGTTTGTGAATGAGTGTAGATTCCACATCTGGAAACTTTTTGAAGTGGCAAACAACATTACTGTAGACCTCAAGTCTCTACGTGTGCATGGAAACATCACTAATTTGAAAACCCAGTGGATATATGGTATTTGTTGATTTCTGAGGCTGTATGGGTGGTTTGGTCCATTTCCAAGTTGAGACTTGTTGGCCTGACAACAGTTGTATTTGTGTATCACGTTAAAACAATGATAGGTTTAAACAATGAGAAGTTATGCAATTATTCCAAGATGGTAAACACACATGTATATTTTGTAAATATAATTATATTTTTGGAGACTCATTGGCCATAGTGGCTGAATTGTGCCTGTATAACGGTTCAAAAAATTAACTATCACCCCGAGTAGTTTTGGAATTTTTCCAACCACCAATTGGTGACTTTTTTGTAAATATTTTTTTTTTAAGAATGTTTATCTTATATTTTGTTGATTAGGCTGCCTGAATATTATTGTACTTATGTCAGACATTTAAAAGAGTAGTTTGGGATTTTCCAACCACAGATTAGTGACTTTTTTTGAAAATAATGTTTTTAAGAATGTTTATTTTATATTTTGTTCATATTTTAAATAAACATTGGTGCAAAGGTTGGTGGGAAGATCAGTTTTAAAAACTGCAAAAAGATGAAGGAATAACTGATTTGACACAGCATTGAAAGGGGGGGGGTGGTTTCCTTAGCAAAATTTTCAGGATTATATTCATTGAACATTAAAAGTACTAAAGGAAATATGAAAACAAAGGGTATTCTTTGCTTTTTTTTCTCTTCAAATAAACCACAAAAAGCAACTGACTAGATGCATTGTAATTTTTGTTTATATAATTGAAAAAAAAACAACAAATAAAGACAATATTCTGACATGCTTCGATGTTAATGAAGTGTGGTGTCAAATTCACTTTCTATGCTTTGCAGTGGCTGAAAATGTTCCACGTTTCTCTATATTTGCAAACTTTTTAATTAAAAGACTTGTTTCCATTTCTATCTGTAAATCACATATTAATAGGCCTAGTAAGTACAATAACTAAAAAACTCTCCTTTTTGCAAGTAGGGCAAGTCCAAGAAAAGGTCTCCTTGTGGTCCCATACGTAACGTACCATGTCTTCTTCATCTCAAAGACTAACACAAGTTCTTGTTGATACGGTATTCTCCTTTCAAATGCCCACCAGTAGAATACAAAAATCAACACTGAACTTAATTGATGTTTGGACGGTTAAACTTTGCTGGGACGTAACATGTGTGAATTCTTGGACTGCCCCAGTAATAGCCTGATGGAGTAGACATATGGATTGCATTCAGGTTCCATATTAAAATACATGATGTTAATATCTCACAATTGTTTCTGGTGTGATCATTTTGTGTCAGTCCCATTCTGTTGTATTGCATTTTACCTTAAGATGAGTATGTGAGGAAGAGTGTATAGTGTGTGAATTGAATGGTTTGCTCAGAATTGAATGGTTCAAACCCACCATCATCCCTGTCCTCTTTGACAAATATTCAAACACAATCCAGCCCATGTGTTTATCGGATACCCGATTACCCTACTATCTTGTAAACTCACAGCCCAGTACTTCAATTAGGGAGATGGGTCTTAGGCTGGCTTCTAGGTCGACCTGCGATTTGCTTGCGCCGCGACGGAACTACATGTAGCCTTGGTCAAGGCGTTTGTTGACATTGTCCGTGATGGTATCTGACATGCGCTGGGCATGCGCTATGCACTGTATAAAGCACTATTGACGAACACCTTGACCAAGGCTAGTTCATTCACGGCACAAGTAAAAGGCCAGTCAAGAAGCAGCCTTAGTTAAGCTGTTGCCTTCAACAAACCTGTTTTGTTTCTGACCTTACACTACATGTATATGTTTTGATTTTTACACGTTGGACTGAATCAGTTTAGGTCACTCTCAATTATTCATTCCACGCCCTCCCCCCCCCCCCCCCCCAAAAGGCACGCACAAATAAAGGGATAATATGAACAAGCATTGAACTTAATGACCATTTTAAGTGAATAAATATGCATTTGGCCGGTTTGAAACAAGTACATTTAAACCAGCTGTGGTATGGTTGCCAATAATGACCCGGCCGAAGGCGAGGGCCAATATCTGCTTCCAGGCATGCCATGCCCCTAGCCGGTTTGAAACATACAGCCAAGCACAAAGAAATTCCCACTCATAAATACCTTGTAATCAAAAAATCTGCAAAACAAGTCAACAAATCACAAATCAGTGTTAGTTTGTGAAAACAAAAATGTATGGATTGCACGCATCCGGTGCCACAATGTGCCGGCTGTTACTTCGTGAAAACGAAAATAACGTGGTTCTGTAAAAAAAAAAAAGCATGCGTGTTTGGCACCCATGCAGAACTGAGGATTACTCCGTGGTCACGGTGTCGGTAACTGATAACGAATTGCCTACCTCATGCTAAAATGCTGACCTGCAAATCCTGAACGTTGGCAGTGTCCATGAAGTGAATTTTATTGAGGAACATATTTTCATGTTCACTGAACCTGCTATGATACATTATCCGCAACATTGTATTTATAAATTGAATTATCCATGCATGACTTGAATTGCTGGAAGAATTTTGAAAATGTTTACACAATCGAAATGAATTGTGTATATAGAGTTGATTTGTTAGGAAAATATGAAGGTTATGAAAGTAAATGACTTTTTGATGTTTAATGGATTACAATAGCCACATCAGTTTGCTTAGCCTACTGATACGTGTGTTACGCCCCAACTTGGTCGTCGGTCCCAATATATGTTGGGACTGTCCCAACTTGAGTGATCCAGTTGGGCAGCAACATTTTTTCCATGATTTTGTCCAGAAAAACGATGACAAAAGTAAAGTTGGCCCTTGGGATGAGGATTGTCGGGATAGGGCCAGGATGATTGCATGGTCCTACCGCCCGGACAGTAGGACCAAGGGCACACGCTCAGGCCGGGCCTGGGAGCTCAGAGGCAGATCAAACATGTCGTCTTTTTGTAGCAACTTCCAGGAAAGCCGTGTAGAAAATGGCTCAGTTTGTCTGATGACACTGTGCAGCACATGGCCGTGGATGTGCTCATCACCGGCACCTACGCTCGTTGGTAAATGGCGCCCTCTAACATCCATGTATGAGTAGCAGTGCCCAACCCAAGTCAGGCCTGCCCATTGCTGCAACTTGAGTGATCTAGTTTGGCTCAAGTTGGGACAGTCACAACATAAGCTGGGTGCGACGACCAAGTTGGGGCATAGTTGGTTTGCAAATGAACAAAAGTGTGAAAAGTGAGGACCAATTCTCTTTCTTGTTTGATAAGCTGTACGATAATTCACAATGGAAACATTTCCATATCTTTTGTTCATTTCTTCTAGAATCTTGCATCTTATTTTCCTGTGGATTTGTTGTTTTTCATCATTCCAGCATGTGACACACCTGGAGGTCCTGTTGGAGGTCAAACAAAGGTCACCCTGCGAAACGAACACTGGCGATACATCGTTACATGGTGAGTATCATCAATCACGGCATTATTTGAAGTAATGAATTTGAAGTACAATGTATAAGTGAAATTGATTTAAATTCTGAATAAGTTGACTCGATATCAGAATGTTTGATCAGAATGTTTGATGCACCTTATATATTGTTCAGTTAAAATAATTTTGCAAGTTCTTGCAATACAATTGCGTATCTGGCTGGTGCATGTCGCAAAAGAAGTAAAAACCTACGTAAACAATTGTTTATGTCCATTTCGTCTCAAAGAACATGCTTCTCAGCAACTTCCTCACCACAAAAAAGATAACACTTCTGCCGTCCGTATGTTTACTTTCTGGTTTGTTACCTTCAAACTCAGTTTTCTGACGAGACTTGCAAGCTTTCCTTTGCCTAGGTGAAAGCATGCACCGTACCAGTAAATGCAGGATGTATGGTTCCTGCCACTGTAAAGATAATAGCCAATGCTGGAAGAAGTAGGAGCAGTTTACAGCACTGAACATAAAGTCAAATCTCTACATCATTAAAAGGTCACGAAATCATCTTT